CGGATGGATAGTGCATCCAGGGATGGATAGTGCATCCAGGGATGGATAGTGCATCCAGGGATGGATAGTGCATCCAGGGATGGATAGTGCATCCAGGGAGGGATAGTGCATCCAGGGAAAGGATAGTGCATCCAGGGAGGGATAGTGCATCCAGGGATGGATAGTGCATCCAGGGAAGAATAGTGCATCCAGGGATGGATAGTGCATCCAGGGAGGGATAGTGCATCCAGGGAGGGCTAGTGCATCCAGGGAGGGCTAGTGCATCCAGGGAGGGATAGTGCATCCAGGGAGGGATAGTGCATCCAGGGAGGGATAGTGCATCCAGGGAGGGATAGTGCATCCAGGGAGGGATAGTGCATCCAGGGAGGGATAGTGCATCCAGGGAGGGATAGTGCATCCACTTTCAAGACAAAGTACAGTTCAACCACAAAAAAGTAGTTTGATTCTGTCTTGCTATCTTTAATACCAAAATTCTTCTTATCCAATCATAGCACAGTCATGAGGTGTTCAATGAAAATCAGTCAAAACTATAACATAATCATATTCTATTATGACTTACTTTTAGCTTTCGACGTGCATTAAATTTCTTTAAGCAGTCGACAGTCTCCTGGCGGTGTAAATTAGAGGCCACACGCTCACGATTCTGTAAAAAGAAATAAGAAACAGTTTACAACAGATGGAAAGGATACGAAAAAAGATAAGTTTAAAAATTATTGCCTAAAAAATAGTGAATTTGATATTAATAACAAAACATTTATAGAGGGGTTACTATGGTAACTCGAGCAAGACTGCTAAAAAGGTAAATTTGATGAATGACAGAGAATTTACTGATGTATTAAATAAAACATGTGTACATAAGCGGAGTCCAGGAACAACAAATATAAATAGCTATAAATAGAACAAGATACAGAATATTCAGTACCTCAGGGGGTCAGTAATTTGCATAGATGGTTATGGGTTTTTTTTCACCTGCTTAGTAAAACAGAACCTTGTTCCAGGAATAACTTTAGTGAGTAGTTATTATTTATCATTTACCAAATATTTTAAAAATTTGTGTTTACTTTTAAACAAAACAATCCAATTATTTGAATGTGGTTTTATTTTTTTATGATTCTGGGGGGCTTTAATTTTCAATTTTATATAATCTTATTCTATTTCAATCACCAATTTGACAAAACTATCCGGGCTCTACAACGATGGTAGCAAATAGTAAATTTTAACAAATCAGAACTGCTTAACAGAAGTATATATTATATAATAGGTGAAATCTGCTAATAAATGAGAAATTGTATGTATTTTTTACATAATTTTCATATTCTAATCAACTGCCAGTTTCATATTTGTAGGTATTATCTGATGACCTTTGACCTTTGGTGGCTAAAGCTTAATCATTCACACAAATAAACAAACCTGCATAATTCTTTTTTTTTTGTGTTTTAAATTTGATCAATACCTTCAGCTGATAAGCTATGTAAATTTGGTTCAAATTTCACAAAGAAATTATAGAAAAATGCATAAAAATGTCCAAATTATGTAGAAAATGGGTAAATATGTCAATTTTGTCTAAAATTAAGAAAAAAACTATAGAGTAATACAGAAATGTGAGCAAAAATTTAACATAATTTTGGCGGGAAAAAGAATTAATGTAGAGCAGGATTATTATTGGAAAAAATGTTTTCAATAAATTCTGGAGGAGTTCCAAGAACTGAAATATTATTTTGTGAGATTTTTTTTTTCTGCCTCATTTCCCTACCTCTTTAAGATAAGAGCAATTAAACATTGGCAAGTAATTAAAACGCTGACAAACACTGAATACTCACGCAGATCCATGGGTGTTTGAGTGCTTCACATGCAGTTATTCTTTTGCTAGGTGTTACTTGTAGCATACTGTTGATAAGATTTTTGGCTTCCGGTGTCACTGTATCCCACTCAGGGGATGGATACTGAAAATAAATATCAATGAAATCGACAATGTTTAAGATTTATAAGAAGGAGGTATAAAAAGTTAACACCCATGTTCGTGTGAATTCCTGTTAACTTATCCCTTTGACTTTTATTCGCTTGTTTTTCATATTTATTGAAAAAAAATTGTTATTAAGAAATATTTTATCATTGACCTGTGTCCAAAATGAAATTGAATCCATTTGGTCTAAAATCAACAAAGAAATCATACACAAATACATAAAATTTGGCAAAATATTTCAACACATTAATGACACTATTTTAGTCTCAAAGTGCATGATGATTTTCTCACTCTGTCGGATGACAGTAATATTTTAGTTTTATTTAATAAATCATAAAAAAAATTTTCAGAAAGTTTCCTCCAAATCAGGCCCTAAAAATGAATCACAAATCTTAATTTTGTGTTAAACCGTTTTACTGTATGCAAGAGTCAAAACTATAGACAGATTACTGCTTGTTCTAGAAATATCTCAACAATCTAACAATGTTGTTAGTTAATGTACTAGTCGTACATGTACTCAAGGCAAGTGAATAATTATTTCAATTTGTGTTCTTGTGGGATAATGCATCAAGGTATATGCTATGTTCATATGGCAACATTCTACCAGAGCCGAACTACTGCTACTTCCACGAATTAACAACCCCGAGGGTTTAGTGGAGCCGAACATGGCTTGAGTCGAACGCGTTTACATGGCCAATTTTTGATGGCTCGAGCTGTTAGGCTCAGATAAAATGCTGTCGTGTGAACGTAGCAATAATTCTATTCCAACACCCTTGTGTTGGAATAGGACTATACTTTACTATAATATTCAAGAAATTAAACAATCATTATACTGTAAAATATTTTACTTTAGCTGGTATTATTTTCACTGAAAAGACTTTTTGGGTGTTTTGTATGGAATTTATTTTCACTGATTTTTAGCGAGTTGAATGTAAAATATAAAGAAAAGGTATATTCACTGGATTTTATTTTCGCTGAATCATTCCTTCAGCAAAAATAGCAAAAATTAATTCCAAGCAAAAATAAAGTATTTCGCAGTAATGATCATTATTACAAACCACCCTTTACATATGTAAACACTCACCACTAGAGGGCGACACACTACACTGATATCAATGAAATGTAGGGTGACTCTCATAAACTGGATTTAACAGCATTCAACAGGTGAAATAAACTATCCAAATGTAGACACTTTTACCAAGAGAAAAAATGTCTGTTTATCTGTACTATCATTTTTTTTAAAAACCAGGCAAGAGAAAGTTTTTTTATTGGGTTATTAAAATAAAAGTTCTTGATTTTTGAGGAATAAATTTTAAGGAATTATTGGTTTATTTTCATGAAAATTAATATGAAAATAATAATATTTTAATTGGCTGTGTTGCAAAAGAGGAAGTTATATTTACAATGAACAAAAATGTGCTGCCGGCAAAAAAACTTACATCATAAGCTCCTGCCTTTATCTGTGCATATAGTCTATGTTGGTCTTCATCCCAGAATGGTGGATATCCCACCAGCAGGATATAGAGAATAACACCTACAAAATAGAATAGTCTAGTATATCAATCCATTATACTGTAAATTAATCATTCGATGGTTTTTAATTTCACTATTTGCTGATAAGTAAAATTTGCTAAATTAAGGATCTAGTAGAAATAACAATATAAAATCACAGTTTTCCTACAAAGTTTGTGAACTTAAAACTGAAAATAAATATGAATGAAACAGAGAACGTTTAGGTTTTTTTTTAAGAAGGGTGTTGCACTTCGAGACATTATATGAACATGAGGTAAAATGATTGTCATTTCCTTTGTCAGAATTCTGGCACCAATCTCACCGATGTCGTAATTAGAAGTTACCCTGAATCACATAAACATGAGTGTTCATTTATCCATGTCAGTATGGTTGTTTTGCGCCCTCTATAGAACAATATAAACAATTTCTCAGTTACAAATGTATTGAGCATGACATTCATGCCGTGGATGACGGCAAATACAGATGAATAAGATTTCATTGTATTCATAAAATATCTGATAGACTTTTCTGCAAATCTAACAAGACATCCACAACACAGCATTTCCACTTTGGATTTTTGTGATCAAAACGAGAAAATGATAAAATTAGTTGGTATGGCAACAAATCTTGAAATATCCGCGCACTGAGGCTTGTCTGCATTGAAAGTCATTGCGCTTAAATCAGCAAATCAAATATCATTTTTATTGCTGTAGTTACACATGACACTTTACTTTGGAAGGGACTTTTAAATAATATTTTTTCATGCCACCAGTTCCTACTTTTCATCACAAACTCACAATATAGTCCCAGTCATAGTATGCACTTTTCTTCAGAAGATTGGAACAAAAATAGTCAAATTTGTTGTGCAAGAACTGAAAATTGAATTTTGTCTGTTGGCTCTAAAATTAGGGTTCATTTCCAGAAATATTGAAGAATAAAAAAAACAAAGCATGCATAATAATTTGGGCGAGAAAGTTTAGTGGTGTAAGGGTTAATGATGAATACACGAGTCAGTAAGAGGTGTTCTGCAGATTATACAAAATGAAATTGTAATTTAAACTTATTATTACCATGCCATGTTATTATGGGTTGGTGATGGCAGCCTGTGTTCAAATTTTATATTATTATTTTAGTATTTTACACGCATTGTATATGTCACTATGAGTCCTATATTTATTTTTATTGAAATACCAAATAATCAGTAAGAATCAAGTTTTCACTTTCTAGTTTGTGAGAACTTATTCTGCAAAGCACTTTTATTACTAATTAGAAATAAACAAGCAACTGTTATAGTTGGTAACCATGGTAACTTACCACATGCCCATATGTCAACTGGTTTACCATAAGGATCTTTTCTCAAAACTTCTGGTGACAAATATCCAGGAGTTCCAGCAAAACCTGACATGATAAAAACAAAAGTAAAAATATCCTACATGTATAACTAAACATGAAGCATTAATATAGCGCCACCATAAGACCACATCTAAGTTTCTTTTCTTTTTGTCTTTGTATTAAGACATACACCTGATGCTTTTGAGCCTTCTTTTTGTAAGAAAACAATAGGCCAAATCATAATTTTATCTTATGTATCAAAATTCATGGATGTTCAGACTCCCTAAGTCATCTAAAAAAGTACTCTCAATTTAGTGACAATACTTGACTGTGCGACTCTGGATATTGATGGGAAGCAGTGAAGCAAATAAAATGGCAGTCAATCTATTATGATGTCACTACCAGGTTATCAAGAGTAATTAAACTCTTGCTCGAAACTTAATCTGAAGGACAGTTAATAATTGGATCTGTTCTCATCTCTCACTTTGACAGGTATTCCCACGTACAGGGGAGCAGCTGGCAAGGAACCTTATTATACATCTTCTTTGGAAATGAATTGACTCATTTCTACTGGGACTTTTTTTTTACTATTTCTGCTTTATCTTGCCATGAAACCAATAAATTTACGTTATCATTGATATTACACTCCTGAATTAGCGCAGTGAAAGGAAACTAAGAAGAGGAATCTTAGATGAATTTTTAACTTTGATTGAAGGAGCTCCATTTAAAAGAAAAATATATTCTGTATATTTCCAATATTAGTAAATTTTCAAGAAATCAATACAATTTATCTCGACAATACTGTATTTGCTTTATTAGAAGGGCATGTATGCCAACAGTATTTAATATGCTGGATTATTAAAATATGGCTAATTTTAATCATAGACACACCTACTGTAAAATCTGTATTAGAAACCGTGGCTTCTATTAAAATGGTACAATGCAACAGAGGGGATGCGGCTTCTATTAGAGCATCTACACATATGAGAAATGATGAATTTTTGGTTCTCAATTATTCAAAAACAATGGGTGCGACTTCTATTAGGGATGCGGCTTCTAACACAGATTTTACGGTATGTCATTTACGCAAGTACATGTGCTTCTAATAGAGCAAATACAATAATATTGTGAGTTAACTCAAGGGTTTTTATGTTACTTTAACCTTTTTACTAACAGTTTGCTCTTTTCATCACAAATTCAGAAGATTTGGAAAACTGAAAATTGACTAAAATTAGAGATTAGGGTTCATTTCCAGAAATTTTGAAGAATATAAGAAGAAGTGCAAAAAAATTTGGTCAAAAAGGTTTGGCGGTGAAAAGATTAAACATTATTTTGCCAACCTGGAATCATGGACATAATATTACACTTGGAATAATAGACCATTTTCCGTACACTGCGAGAATCACGCAAAATGCGTGAAATCGAACGTAAAAACAGGACAAACAAAGGTCATAGCGTCGTAGTCGCGTCAAACATCGCGTGGGATTCGACAAACGCGAAAGTATTTTGGGGACATTTCCATGCTTAATAATGTGCTGTCCACATTTGATGATAGGCAATTTCGATTAAGTAAGGGTATTCAGAAGCAATATTCCTCTCTCGAAGATCAGCCGGTCAATGTAAGCTACGAAATAAAGAAATTCTAGTTTAAAATCAAATCGTTCGATTTTTGTGGCAGACGTTCCACGCGCGTCTTTCATGCATCTCGCGAGATGCATGAAAGACGCAAAATTAACTCTCAACTGTTCAGCATTTTCTCTCATTGTACGGAAAATCATCTATTGTGACTGCATCATTGGATGGTAATTAAATTCTCTGTAAATATGGACCATGTTCAAGAGTACTAGTAATAAAAACAGACTCAAATCTTAATTGTTGAGAGCGAGAGAGCCGAAAGACTACCCCCCCCCCTCAAAAAATGTTCCATTTTCTTCCGTTCTCTCCCTTCATTGTGTGGAACCATGGAATTTGGTTGCTTTGACACAAAAGAATGGAACAATATTTGATGGGCAAAAAATAGACTTATGTCTTTCGCTTTTTAGAACTCTGCTGCCATTAGTGTCTAATGTTATTAAATCCATTGTTGGTAAACAAGAAAGTAGACATTAAAACACACACTCACCAAACCAGGCTTGCTGTTCTCCTTGGACTTCTATAGCAAGTCCAAAATCGGCAAGTTTTACGGCCGCACCCTTGGCTTTACTCGCGAGCAGAAGGTTTTCAGGCTGAGAAGAAACAAAAGTATTAGGAAATAAAATGAGATGTTTATCAGGACTTGACATTATGTTGTTTATTTATTTACTATAGTTTGTTAGGGAAAGTAAGCAACTACTGTTAAATCTCTATTAGTAGCTGCATCACTGAAAATTGATCATTTTTCATATGTGCAGATGCTTTAATAGAAGCTGCATCCCCTCTGTTGTATTGTATTATATTAATAGTAGTGGCATTTTATAGTACAGATTTTACAGTAATTCAGTTGTCTGAATGGTGATTTTACTTGATCCGGCTATAGGACTAGCTGAAAAGCTGTAAATCACCAATTACTAAAGGTCAAGTATCATTTAACATGTCACCTGATTTCAGTCAATCAACAAACATCAATCATCACAATGTAAGCTTAGTTTTATTATCAACTATATAATGTATTTATTTATTTATTACTCGGATCAAAAACCCAATCACATTCCATAGATCTAGCCCATCCCAATCACAGATGGTAGACTTGTCTAGCTTAATCCAGGTGGTATAGCACCCTGGTCTAGCTTATCC